AAATATGCATAAATCAGGTGGTAATCAGGTAGTAATCAGTTTAAAATCGGGTACCTGATTTGTGCCTGATTTTTTATTTTTCAACCTGTGTTTGTTGTGAATTCATTGTTTATTATGATTGATATGTTAAAATGCAAAATAATACTTGAGCAATCTTTATCAATAGTAAATTTTTGAAGAAAAAAGGTGGGTTATATCTTGTTGATTTGTTAATCGAATTGATAACTCGATTGATTTATTTAATTTCTGACTAATTAAAAATTTACATCTGATCTATTGAGTGAGGTGCTTGAAAATGGCCTAAGTATGATCTTTTTTTTTTAATGTTCATATATACTAGCCTATACTACTATATTGGCGCATAATAATGCCTATTTGCATGACTTTGGAGAAGAATAAAAATAAAAAAGAATATACAATTGCATATACACATAAAAGCCTTATTAGGTCTAAGAGAAACTATACAACCACAGAACTAAAATATTATGCTGTGGTATAAGCTATTAACCTAGGATACAAGCTCTTTATAGTTGTCACAGACTATTTAGCCCTAAAATGGCTACATAGTACAGCCCTAAAAGAAAAAAAGTATGATAAATTCTTTGTCTTCAATATCATAGTGCATAGGCCAGAACGAATTCATAACAATATTGATGCATTGTCAAAGATGGTTAGGAATCTCTAAAAAATAAAAAAGAACAAAATAAGGTGGTTAACTATTAACAAAAAGCAACAGGTATGAGAAATATTGAAGGCTATAACAAACCTATCTAAGAAGCTTCCAAAGTACAAGAAACCAAAACCATCCAAAATGTGGAATATTCAGAGCAATTGCTCAAGAATACTTTCCAGAAGATTCAAACAAAGAAATAGAAATAATTTCTTGAAGCAATACTTATAGCTGGAGTGAATAGAAAATAATATTGAAGAAATAGAAAGTACTAATATCAAACTAGAGTATGACAAGCTTATTACTCAAGAAATAGAGTATGAAAAATACATCTAGAACCTTCTAATCGAATTGGCCTTGAAACTCAGAATAGATATAACCTGGTCAATAAGAAATAGGTACAACAATGAGTATACTAATAATTGGTCTAAAAATAACTCCAACCTATAGACCTCTGAAAAAACTACTTAATCAACATACCCCAATGAGAAGAAGCAGCCAAAGGGCTAGAATTCCAAGATAGTAGTGATAAAGAGTATGAAGATACTGGCTATGGCTACTATAACCCCAACTTGGCTCTAACTATTGTTGATGAAATATCAATGAAGATGAAAAAATCTTTTCTGAATTTACTGCTAACTTTAAAAATCCAGAGTAGTCTCAAGAGTTGAATAACTACATCAACTGGGATTGTAATGACTCACAATAAGGGGGCATTCATAAATAATATTATGCTTGAGGGGAAAGTGGGTCCCCAAAATATAACAATTTTCCAATATTTAAGGGAGAGTCCCCCAAAATATAATGCAATTTTTTTATAAAAATTTGTCTAAATTTTGATCCAGTGGTCCAAATTGGGTAATTTTGATACTATTCGAATCGTCTTGAGGAGAACATTTGAATGGTACCAAAATCATTTGATTTGGTTTACTGTATTATGTTTTATTAACAAAATATTATTGGTTATTATGTTTTCTAATAAAATAACTATAAAATCAATAGTATTTTATTAATAAAATGTGATCCAGTGGTCCAAGTGAAATGATTTTAATACCATTAGATTAGTCTCATAGAGGAATTGAATAGTACCAAAATCATAATATATCCAAGTTTTTGTAAATTATATATATAAACATAAGAATTTTTAAATTTTTTTTATATAGTCTAGGGGGGTCAAGAGCTACTATATAGAGATATATAATATTATTTATGGATGCCCCTAAGGGTGGCTCTATAAAACGTTATCCTACAAAGAATTAATTAGAGATGCTATAAGGACTAAAGGCTAATTATAGAAGATAAAAAAATCAATTAAAAAAAAAATAAAAAAAATAAAAAAAAAACAAGAAAAAAAAAAAAAGAGAGAGAAACAACTTAGAAAAAAAAAAAAAAAAACTTATAAATTATTTACTTAGGAAGAATATTGAGACTCAAATTGAAGAAAAGCTACTACAGATAATACACAAAAAATGCAATTAGGCCATTCTAACATGCTTAACTTAGATCATATGAAAGATTAGCTGTCAAAAAAAATAAGAAAAATTCAAGAACAAATGTGTATGAACTACAAAAACCATAGTAGAATTTATGATTAGGGCAATTTCACATAGCTATCTATTTAATAATAGTTACTGAAATATGAGCCTACTCCTAAACCAAGATTTTGAGGCCACAAAGAAGATGATTTAAACAATTCACTATTCTGGCTAAAGAAGGCCAAAAATCGAACAACATAGATAGAATCAACCAATTTTTATATAGGAAAAAGCTTAATGACACTCTAGCAATGTATTTAAGCAATATAGTATTGAGTATTACTATCAAAACAGAATTGAAGCTGAAAAAGACCAAACATTGATGAAATCTAGGAATTAGAAATTGTTAGCTGAAAAGGCTACCAAAGGAATCAAAACTAACAAGAACAAAACCATGTTAAAAATGCTATAGACAATTAAGGATCAGACTTAAAAGAAGTAAAAAACTAGACTACCCCAAAAAATATAAAAATGAGAAATACAGAGCTACACTGAAAAAGTCTTAAGAAAAGATTAAAAGATATAGGTATTAATCCAACTACCTAATGTAGTCAAAGAAAAATAGAAACAGAAAGATTAAAAGAAAACAGATAAAAAATATCACTTATTCAAAAAATACTGTACATGTACTGTTGAGCTAAAAACCTGACATAAAACTCAATCCAGCCCAGATTGTCAGTATCCTGGCCAAGATTAAAACTAAAGAAGACTGAACCATGACTATTAAAGTTAACAAAAATGAAACTACAGCTCTACTTGGCACTAAAAACATATATACAATATCAGAATTTTCTACAACATTACACTACTCAGCAACAAGACTAGATGAAAAGGCAAAGTCATTTCTACCAAGTAAAAAACAAAGTGCTATATATGAAAATAGGAAATCCCAGTGAAACTTAGTAAAAGTTCTACAAAAAAGAGAACTTGAAACCATATTGACTCTAGCTCACAATTAACTAATAGAAGCACATTTTAGAAAAAACACAATGTTCAATAAAATTCAGAACTACTATTACTAGCCCCAAATGTGTAATGATATATAAGAGTATGTCAAAACTTGCAAAAGTTGTCAATATCACAAAAGTAAAAAATCAAAAGAACTACTTTATTCTATACTTGTGAAAGCCCTTTTTCATAGAGTAGACCTTGACATAGTCGGTCTTTTACAAATAACTCGCAAAACACCTTTTTACTTGGTATACAGAAGATCTGCCCAACTACCACCACATTCTAGTGCAGCTGAAGATCTATTAAATAGAACTATTATACAATGATTATACGAGATTGACAATAATCTACCTGCAGCATATAAGAATATAATAAAACAGATCAACAAGACTCAGTAAAAACAAAAAGAGCATTATAATCAACAAACCAAAGCCACTAAAGACTTTAGTATTGAAGAGAAAGTTCTTGTGCTAGATGCCAGAAAATTGAGCACATGTACAGTGCCCGACAAAAGTTTCCCTGCACCTATATCTTCTCATAGAGAAGTGATACGGCCTTGAAACTTTTACAAAAATTAGTATGTACATAGTTTAGATTGTGTGTGTTTTTTAAAGATTTTTTAATCACTAGAAAAAAGTTTGTATGAGAACTAAAGTTGGGATGCTTTTTTTTAAAAATAAAAAAATTAATTAAAATTAAAGAAAAATTAATATATCGTTAAGTTTAAAGTTAAAATTTTAAAAATTTAGTATTTTAATATTCATTGATTTCTGTTGTGGTCATAAAATATTTGGCTCGATTTGATGAGATAATTGTCAAGAAATTAATTTTTAAAATTTTATTTTTATTTTTAAAAACTACAAAGTAATAGTTTTTTCAATCGAAACTATTTTGATATCTAGTGATCCAAATTTAATGATTTTGGTATTATTCGAATTGTCTTGATGAGACAATTCTAATGATATCAAAATCATCAAATTTGAACTGTTGAAACACGAGATATTAGTAAAAAAACATTTGCAATACAAAAAGAGTTAGGTATCAACAAATCAAAAATAAACCTCAAAACTTTAAAAATTAATTTCTCAATAACTATCTCATCAAATCGAGTCAAATTTTTTGTCACTATTATAGAAATCATTGAATTTTAATATATTAATTTTTGGAAGTTTTAGCTTTAATCCTTAACAATATATTTGAATTAAATTAATTTTTTAATTTTTTAGAGACAAAAAATGTCCAAAATTTAGTTCTCATCCAAATTTTTTTTTGTGATTATAAAATCTTCAAAATACATACACAATCTAAACTATGTAGGTACTACTTTTCTGAAAGTTTTATGATCGTAGCACCTCTCTATGAGGAGATATAGGTGCAGGAAACTTTGTCGGCAACTGTAGCAATAAACAGATGCCCAAATAGAAAGGGCCATACTATATCCATAATACTCTTCTAAACAGCATCTAGCTAAATAGGACAGTACTGGCAGTGCCCCTAAACAAAGCTTTACTTAAGCTTTATTATAAATAAAGTCACTAAAGAAAGTCATATACTAAAGTATAGCAAATATTAAAAACATAATATATATAAAAAAAAAAAGAAAGAGAAGATTGCAGAAAGCAAAAAAAAACAAAAGAAAAAAGAAGAAAAAAAATACATAAAGACTATAAAATAACTGTTAAAAGTATAAACTCCAGAATCAAAATATTCCTTAAAACACTAAAATATTTGAAACTACTACTACTATGACCTCCTGGCTTGATTTCTACTACCCTGTTATTCGTAATTGCAGCACCATGCCTTTACGATAGTATCCAAAACATTGCAACTCAATTAGCTATTGCCAGAGACGAGATAAAGTGAGTAAAGGCCAGGGCAAATAGGATTGATGGCCTGGTCTATACTTTCTATTTTGGGGCCTGTTTATCGACTGCCATTCTAACTGAGAGAGCAGCAGCCAGAAGGGAGTATGGTAAGTACTTGCTTTGGGCTACCACCTGTATCTATTATTTGTTTGAGTTCTTTGAAGTCGAACAATTATACAAAACTATCTACACTCACCTCCCCAAGATTGTGAAGCTATCTCAAGAACAATATAAGGATTTACAACAATATGTACTTGTGCTACAAGCTCTTTTTAGTGAGAAAGAGTTGTGATAGATTAATTTAGTATCATATTCCCAAAATCAGGCTGTGTTAGCCATCTATTTCTATTTTTAGTATATATTTTTCTATTTTATGTATATTTTTGGTTATGCCGATTAGTATTTCCTTATATAGCTAGAGCAAGTTAAAGTACATTGCTAATGCTGTGAGCCTGGTTAAATTAACTCTGACCTGTCATAAAAATTTAAAACCGTTTCACTTGCATTACCCAGGTGGTAAGAAAAATTCAATACCGGTGACTCATGGGTGGATTACCTGGATCATTTGTGTGGTAAAAGAAACTTTGCAACTGGATTTTTACAACTAATTATTAGTAAATTAGATTTTTATCTATATAATATTTAAAAATAGTTTTTATATTCAACAATGCGAATAAATTATAAATTTTGAGTTGCTTATTTATTAATATGTTAATTAATGCAAATGATAAATTAAATATTCATAAGAATATTTAGACTAATAATTTCTTTATTCCATGTACTAAATAAAATAAAATTAAGTAGAAAAATATTCATAAACTTTGAAAGCTTATTATAATACTTATATAATCATGCTTATTCATTAAATTAGATAGCTTAGTGCTCACTATTTCCAATCTAAAGTAATTTATAAATAGTAAATAAAGCTGGAATAACTTTGAATATTTATACTTTTTATACTTACGTATTAAATTAAATTAAAATATATGAGTGCTGTCAATAGAAAATTTGTCATCAGACTTTCAATTACAGTTAGCTGTTTATAGAAAATCTATTGTCATGATATATTTTTCATAGATGATAACTGTACACAAAATATAATTGAAAGTCTGATGATAGGTTTTTTATTGACATCAATTATATAATAGTAAATGTTTGTAGCCATGAATAACTTATTTTGAAGATTTCTATTTATAAATGTTCTTTATACCTATGCACTAAATTAATGCAAACAAAATGAATGAAGTGATATGTAAATACTGTATTCGTGAGTATTATATTTTATTAAGTATTAAGATTAATATAAATATACAGTATATT